TAGGGGTTCTAGGTGCAGAGTGTCTCGCTCAACCGAGGTAGTTCTCGCTCAAGCGTGATTGAATCGTGCATAATGAGCATTCTGGAGTGTTCTCGCTCAAGCGAGATCAAATAGGATCGCCCCAACTGTCCCCTCGCCCAAGCAAGAAGGGATTTCGCTCAGGCGAGGAGTCGCAGAAAAAATTGGTAGCTCTCTGAACCCAAGCTCGTTCAGGCGAGACACTCCTTCTTATTGAGTACGAGAATAGCAAAAATCTGAGATGTTCCACTATTTGGTTTGCTCACCCAGGCAAGAGAAAGGCTCGGTCAAGCAAGAGTGCATGAACCTGGAGGGTTATTTAAGGAACTCCAGTGCAAAGAAATGTTCATTTCTCAGCAGATAACCTTTCTCTCTCATTTTCTCTCTGTTCTCTCACCTTCACCCCTTAGATAAAATATTCCCAAAGCCAAACTTCTTCTCAATCTAAAAGGCAACATCCATTGAGTATGAATCTAGGTGAGTTTTTAGGACTTGATTCTCCTATTCTGATAAGTTCATATTTTGATATATTTTATGCCTTATATTTATACACTTAAACTTTATTTTATATATATTTATACTAATTATGTTATTAATTGTTGCAATTTAGCTAGAAGTTGTTATTAGTGCATTATGGAGATATTCTGGATAAAAATTAAATATTTTTAGTCTTTGGTTGTACTATGTGAAGCTGAGTTTGAATTTAAAATTTAAACTTAGATATGAAAATTTGGAGTGATTCTAATTGTGGATAAAACCGATTTGAAAAGATAGAGCTTAACCATCTAGAAACTCAGGGCACAATCTATATAAAAAGGCCTTATGCTCCACACTTGGGACACTCTTCCACTCCTCTACACACATTCTTCCTCTTCTTAGTTCTGCCTTACTTCACCGTTTACATCTTGTCTTTCACTTTCGGATACACTTCTCATCTCGTTTCTCTTGTACAGGATCTTTGGCATTTTTTTGGCAAAACTTAGAGCTTCGAACGATCGTACTTGAAGATCGAGAACTCATCTCTCACTCTCGTTTGCTATTTCTTTTGATTATGGATTTACTTATGATTATTTTAATTCTTTCCTTTAGCATGAGTAACTAAGTCCATATCTAGGGCTATGAGAACTATTGTTTATGAATTTATAGGATTTTGAAGTTTGAATCTATATTTGATTTTCGTTTGTGATTAACTTTTATCCTATTACGCATAATTATAATTCTAATTAATTATATCTTTAGGCGATCGTACCTCGATTAGTTAATGGATCTATGGGGTAAAATGAGAAAAAGAATTAGGTAGATCAAACCAATCTTTTTCTTCCACACGTTATTAAATTAACAAGTTCATACGTGTTTTATGCTTTCTTTAATTGATATCTTACATGATGATTGGAGATATTAATTTAGAAAAAAAAATATTAGTATTGCATGATCATTGTGTATTAATAGTATTTGTATGAATGATTGGTAATCACAAGGAAATTAAATTTAGAGTTAAAATGAAAAAATAACATAAAGGATTGAATGAGAAAACTCATATGTCCTAGGTTTCTCCCCTATAAGTTCAACCATGACGTATGTTGTGTTATTTACTTTTATATTTAATTTTATAATTAAATTCTAGTTCTTATTAAATTTCATATCTTTTAGGCGTAAACAATTGAATTGAGGAACTTTTAGTAATTAAAAATTAATCCTTGTGGGACGATATTTTGGAAACTTATTTTAGAACCTTTTATTACTTCACGATGGATACACTTGCCCAAAGAACATATTCTACTCCTTGTTTCTTAATTTTCCTCCTCAAAAGTCTTCTATTTTGTGATATTAAGGAGATTTGAGACCCTTGGACCTTGTTTTCTTGTTGGAACTCACAAAGATTCAAAACTAAGAAAATCTATTTCAGGTAAGGGGAGCTTACCTAAACTGACTTCATTCATTCACTAGATATTGAGATGCTTACCTGTATAATTTTGTTTTAGCTGAGAATGAATTAATGTAAGGACAAACCCTAAGGTAGAACACTAAGTATCTATGTGATTGATTGTGAAAGTTGGATTGTTGTGTTGTGACATGTAGGCTAAGATATGTAATAAAGATTGTGAAATATTTAACACATACTGTGATCCTGTGTACCGAAATGAATGAATAAGTGCTAATATAATGCAATAATAAAAGTTATGAATGTCTAGTTGTCGGGTGTATGTTGCTAGACATTACTGAGCTGTTAAATATATGATTGTGGTTGAGCTGTATTATTATACTGATATTCATCATTCTAGACCCTAGTTACATATCAAAGTAAGGTAGGCATGTGTCGAATAGATTACATGTTGAGCTGTATATCTGGATCCAGGTATTAGGATGAGTAACTCCTAGATCAAAGAATTATAGGTTTCTTCTGGATTACTAGGGCTGTGAAATCAGTTGGAACTGAGCTGTTGCATTTTGCATAAGATGAACTGCATTGCTGTGTTATGTGCTGAAACATATTGAAATAACAAGCTATGTAAACATTTATATTCATATTCTACTTTTATGACTGTGGTTGTTATTTTCTAAGCTCATCCTTACATTTTGTCTATGTTGGTGTATGTTTTACAATGATTGTGGTATGTGAACAGATGTGACAGGTAATGCATCTACTTGTTATGTTGGAAGGTTTAGCTGAGGAATTTTGGAGTCACCCAACCTTTCTAGAAAGATTGTAGAAAGATTGTAGCTTCATGTATTTTGTTAGTCTAGGTTTTACTGATAGGTCTAGACTATTTAGTTACAGATTTCAAGAAATGTAATTGTTGTTTATAAATTAGCATTTTGAGCTCTATGTAGAGCAACTATTATAAATACGTACATTATATAATTTTTGAATTATATGAAAATGCCCTTGTATCTTTGTTGCTCTGTCGTTGAGATGTTGAAGTTTAATTCTAGAAAATTATATTTCCGATGCTATATATGTATTATCTCATAAATGAATTTGAATTAGGAGCAGTAATGCATGATCTTATTGATCCTTCGCAAAAAGGACTCTTGACAATTATCAATGTATACTTTATTTTTAACTAAAGTATACATTAATTTCAATTTTTAAAATTACATCAACTTAATTTTTGTTTCGGTGTGTATATGCAAAGAAAATGTTCAATCAATAAATAAAATTTAAATTTTTATAATATAATAATTCAAAATCAGATTTATTAAATAAATATTATAAACAATAATATTATTTTAATTAAACATAAATAAAATACATTTAATATAATAAAATTTAATTCATAAAAGGTTTAAAATTGAACTACCACTCATTGATAAAAAGAGTGAAGAAATTTTGAGAGGATTTTTCTTTTTCTTTCACTAGCTGCACAGTATTTGAAGCTAAAGACTAAAATGCTTGATAGAAATAAAAGTTAAGAACTAACGTGACAATTTTAATATTTCAAAGACCAAAATATTTGATACTAACTATCTCAGGAATCAAAATAAGAATTTAATCATTACAAATTATATAAAAGAAAAAATGCCTAAACTATGTCCCAAGAAGAAAGATTCCAAAATTCTAAAGGTTAAATTGACCCTCAAACTTATTTTACCAAGTCCATATACTACAATATTGACAAATTTATAAACATGTTTTAAGCTAATAATACAATGCTTATGCAATAACGTTCATATGTTATATACAAACTCTTCATGTATGTTAAAATTTACAAGTCATCGTTAAAAAATAATTCTAACTATCGTGAATGTTGAATTTGATTCGATATTATGACTTTTAAACATTCAATTCTTTAATGTTATTTTAAATAGTTTATTACAATTCTTTAATGTTATTTTAATGTTATTTAAACATTCAATTTGATTCGATATTATGACTTTTAAACATTCAATTCGCACCACTCACCTTATAACATAATGAATGTATATAAATTTTATTTTTTTACTGATAAACTTCAATTTTTTAAAATTATATATCTATCCAAACACAAAGTTAGATATTTTTTAAGATACTATTAGCGATATTTATTTGAACAAATTTATTTTTATACTAAGTACATTAAATTATTTTAAAAATGTGTCTTAAAATAGTTTTGTGAATTCAGTATGCCTAAATATATTTTTCTTTCTTATATTATTACAAATTTTAGATAACTTTAGTAATTGTAATTGACATGATTTTAAAAAATTGACATGTCTTAATCTTTGAGTTAATTATGTCATATTTTGAAGTTATTAAGAATAAAAATGTTAAAAGTAAAATTAAGAAAAAAAAACTTTGAAAAGATAAAAATAAAAAATTCACAAAAATATAAAAATAAAAATAAAATACTTAAATTGATTTAAATTTAATAAATAGTTACTTTTCTGATCATTATTTTTATTTTTATTTCTTTAACTAACATTAAAAATACATAATTACTTGGATTAAATGGCTCTAATTAGCTAAAAGTTACGGTTCTTGTCGATTGAATATGCAGTTGCATCTTATTCATATTTTCAATTACATTTATTTGTTTCTTTTTCATTAATACATCGTTTTTTTCTTTCTTTCTTTTTCTTCTCATTTTCTCTTATTTTTTTATATTTTTCTAACTTTCACTTTTTATTTATTGTATACACTAAAAAATAAAAGAGATAATCAAAATTGTTAAAACATTTTTCATGAATCACATTATTCTAACATCCTCCAAAACCATAGGATATTTTCACAGGTGATAGCTTGTCACTTTTATATATGAAACCATACTTTAATTAACATAAAATTACACGATAATTCTAATGCTAGTTACTTATTCATGCTAATTCATATAAATAAATAATGAAGTACGTGGAAGAAATATATGGTTTTTTATGGCACATAAGTTTTCACTTACTTATTCCCACTTTAGAATGAAAGAGAATCAAGAACAGATTCAACAGAACAAAATCATAATATAACAACTCTCACAAGTCTAGCTCCTAGCATTGTGTATTCTATTACTCTAGTTGCGGTTATTGAAAGCCGAGCATTTCTTGCGAATTTCTCCTTGATTTCCAACAAGAACATCAATCTTCCCCATCTTTATCATTGCACTGGCGAAACTATTCTCAAAATTATCCTCATTTGACGCCAAATCTGACACAAAGCTCTTGGTGCTTGTATCCAAGGCAAGTTGCTGATCAATCTCCAACACACCTCTCTTAACAAGAATCTGCTTATAGAACTGATTATCAACAAGAAAAGATGTCTTCTGGTCCAAAGGTGTAGCTGGATCACCAGTTGAATTGCACAGCTTCATCAACTTAGCACTCAACGAAGGGTCCATTGTAGGGTCAGGTTTCCCTTGGGAGTTGGAAAATCTATCAGAAAAGAAACTACAGTGCGCAACACCAACGGTGTGTGCACCAAAAAGGGTCACCATTTCTTGTGTTGTTATGCCTTTACTGGCAAAAAATTGTGATATTACGGAGACGGGATTGCTGGGTCCTGGAATCTTGATATCGTTAGCGTTGGAGACTAAGCCATCGCGTCTTCCTGTGGGAACATCGTATTTGGGTCCTCCAGATAAGGCCACGGCATCTCTTGTAGCCAGTGTTATGATATCTGCACATGACACTGTTGAAGGACATGCTGCTTCAAGGCTCTCCTTCACCTCATCGATCAGATCGAATCCTCGTACGCCCTCGTTTGTACCTGATTCTTTCTCTGGCGTGTCGTCCGTGGAGTCTATGAGAATGGATGCATCACAACCCTATTATTTCAAATTAAGAAATAAAAAAAAAATGCTTGTTACTAGTTCTGAACATTTGTTTACTTGGTTATGAGAGCTTTGACATATCGTAAACTAAAGCCAAATGAATTGTTTCACAGTCAAAACAAAGGAAAAGAAAAATGAATATAAAAAGAAGAGAGTAAATATACGGAAATATAATTATTCTAAAGAAAAATTATTGTCTTGTACTGTTGGGAGGAATGGAGAAGTGTGAGATGGGTATGGATAAAAGGAAGATAGAAAAGAGAAAAAAGATGAAATATGAATATGCAATGTGATGAAAAATGAAATGTGTAAAATGAGGAAATCTATTGTACTAAAAGTATATATAGAAAAAGTGCATTTATAACACTATATTGTTTAAAAGGAAAAAGTTTAGGTAAATTCTGTGGTCAAGGGTAAGTTATATGAAAATTTTTAATTAATAATATTTAGAATGTATTTAAATAATATATTTATTTAATAATAAAATATTATATTTACTATATTTAAACAAGTTAAAAAACAATAAATATTTTAAAAAATCAGAATGCAAACAAAATTAAATAAATTAAAATTTAAAACTAAAATAATAATATTATATTAATATATTTTTATATTATTAATTTCATTGTTATTAATATTTAATTATTATATTATAATTTTTTTATTCATAATAAATAAAAATTATATTTTATTTGAAATTAAAAATATTTATACACATATTAAATAATAAATTTATTTAATAATAAATTATTATATTTGTTACATTTAAATAAGATAAAAAACAGTTAAGTTTATAAATCAAGATGTAATCGAAACTAAATAAATTAAAATTTAAAAATAAAATAATAATATTATATTAATATATTTTTTATAATTTTAATTTGTTATTATTAATATTTAATTATTATATTAATATATTATATTATAATTTCTTTTATTTATAATAAATAAAAATTATTTAAATAAAAATTATATTTTATTTAAAACTAAAAATTTATTAAAAAAATAATAAAAAATAAAATAAAAAATTTAATATAATATATATATAATAGAATCATATAGTAAATAATATAAATAATATAATTTTAAATAAATTATATATAATAATATTTTTTTTAATTTGTTACGTATTTTATTTTCATTAATATAAATTTTTAAGTGCAGTATTCATAAAAAAAATTTAGAATACTACAACTAATACCAAAAGTTTATTATATACTCCGTAAATGTATACATTTATTGAGAAAAAGGATGAGAAGAGAGAGAGAATTGAGGTGAAAGAGAGATTAAAAAAAAAGTGTGGGGTGATCCCTGAGAGGAACTGTATCTTACTCTGACAGCACAGTCATGGAAATGCAAGCGAAGCAAGGCTGCAGTAATGGACTTGTCACGATTGAATCGCTTCTGCACCATTTGCTGCACAATTGACTCTGCTTTGGGGCACGAGGAGCCATAGAATCCAACCTTCAGCTCACCCAATGCCAAGGGGAGTGTAAAGCAAAGGAAGAAGATTATTATCTTCATTTTCTATACTTAATTTCTGGCTTCTTTTTTAACCCTGTGATTATTTTTTGTGCCTCTCAGTATAGTATTTGACTGCATATATATAAGCCCAACAAAAGGCTACCTTAATGGAAAGCTTTGAATCGCATAGCATGCAGCTAATACACCCAAAATGTGGATTTGACTTTGGAAAATGATTCAAGAGGAGGTCTAGCAAACAGTGAAAAATACTACTCTTCAACATAGTATGACCAACGACCACATAGTAGAGTACGACATGTATATGAGTATTGCATTAACATACAAACTACTCAAAGCAACGAATCATATACTTGTAAGACTTCAACGATGCAATATATAGTAATCACTTGCCAGTTGTTGCAATTTACATTACATTGATCTCTAATTAATTAATGGCCCATCTTCTGTTCAACAATACGTCAATCTTCGAAGGATCCGCTTGACTCTATATTCAACCAAAGCCTGCAAACTATAGGTTATCTTTTTGTTTCTTATTTATATTTTAGGCTCTGTGTTTATTATATTTTATTCATCGACGATATCTCCAAGTCAAAGATAATTCCACTTTAAGATGAAGGTATAATTATTCCAAATGCAACCTTTCCTATTATTTTTTTCTGTATACACATGGTTTTTATCCAATTGTAGTCAACTTATTTAAGAGATATATTTAATTTTTAAACTTTGTTTGTACAACTTCATCTCTTTATTAATAATGCAGTTCCATTATTTTGAAATCCTTAATTTTTTTATACAAAATTTTATTCTCACCTATTTAAAATACTTTTCAATGTGATTCATCGAAATTTATAAAATATTGTATTATACTACATGAAAATTTGAGGCTTTCAGCTACTAACGCTAATACAAGGCAATTTATGAGTTGTGCAACAATTTAAGTGAATATTAAACTTTAAAAATTGAATTGATTTAAAATATATTATCTGTTTAAAAACAAATTATATTAGTATCTAATCATAAATTATGATATCCTTTAAAATTAATATTTTTATAATAATCATTTTAAAAATTGTTATTTAAATTAGTTGAGAATATAAAATCTTTATACTGAATCAAAATTAAAACTCATAAAAGTTTATCACATGAGTGTTTTCTAACACAGATCACTTTATAAACTGATGCGACCGATGCAATATATTAAAATGAATAAAAAAATTGTTAGCGTTCTATTTTAAATATTATGAGAATTAAAAGTAAAAATAAATTATGAAACTTTTGAATATTTTGACCGAACATGCAACGTAGCTGGATACAGATTTGTTTTGTCGTCAGCACTTTGTATTTCCTTTTTGTCGTGGGTTTGTACAGGAAAATAAAAAGAAAGAAAAACTATTTCTCTCAATTTTTTTATCACATCCAAATATTAAAAGTTTACAATCATAATTAAATTGGTCGATTGATGTTTCACATGTGCGCGAGGTGAATTAGTTTTCATTATAAAAATTATATACTAAGAAAAATATTTAGTAAACATTAATTTGTTATTATATATATTCAAAGTTTATATTAATCAATAATACGTCGTAATACTAATAATTAGATGTAATCGATACTGTGCACATATCTTTTATTTTTATACCAATAAAATTATTTATGAGTAGCAAGTCAGCACTAGACTTTGCATCAAAATCAAGGTCATAAATTCTTGCAAGATTATAAAAATAAAGTTTATTTATATAGTAATTTTACAATGATATCAAAGTACATCTATTTAGTGGTTTTATAAACCAGTAAGTCACTTGAATACTTGTCATTACCTAAAGTAAAATATAATTTACTTCAAACATAAGCAGGTTGAAAATAGGATGTAAAATTTTCATTGTCAACAAGGATAATAAGCACGAGTAATCACATTACATGCTATGAAGGCCTACTAGGCAACGAAATCTCATTAAAATTTGCAAAGAACCCGTCAAATTGTAAATACTATATATACTTACTACATGTTCCATTATACACTAACACCCCACTACATTCTTTCAAGATCCATATTTAAAACTAGAAAGGAGTTTCAAGTTGTTATATACTTTCAAACAAAAAGAAAAATCAATAAAAGGAAATAAAATTAAAAAAATATGTAGTTAACTTTAAATAAAGGTCCTAAATAAAGTTTAATTTTGACATTATTTTTTATTTTTTTTTATCAAAATTGTAAGTGTCAATGCCACACTGTCTACTTTAACATATTATATCTTGAAAAAAGTATGCCAGAATTTTTTCGACATTAACTTTACAATTTTATTTAAACAATATTTCTATATTTTATTATGTCAAGGTTATACAACCAATAGTTGTTGGAGTATTATCCTCCAAACATATCTCATTGTATGTTATCTGTAATTGAATAATCTAAGAAGTTGCTACCTACTTTATAGATACTGTTATCGTGAATAGCTAAACAACAAATCTCAATTGTAAGTATGTATATATAGTGTAGTATGTAAATGTCATGTTTTTGAGATTAATAAACTAAAGTTGCTTCTTTTATATGATATCAAATTAGCCATTTGCCTCACTGCTGTTTTCGATCCACATGGCCTCAACTACTCAAACTTGTGTGACCTCTCCCAGCCAGCTGACACCCAAAGACCTTGTGGAGTTTAATACATCCACACAATTACCAATCAAGTTGAATTCTTCAAATTATCCAGCTTGGTACGAACAAGTGCACTTTCTACTCAATCATTGCCCGAAACCTTAGGTGTTAAACATGTATATTTATATATGTACTTTCCCTTTTGAATTATGTTGTATAAGTTTGGATTATATGGATTTTCATATGTTGAAATATAAATGTGTGAGCTGTATAGTTGTTGAATAAAGAATCGTGCATTTATAGTACTGTGTGGTTGTTTTGTTTGATGTAATTGGCGGTGCAAGTTTGTGGTTAATCATTAAGCGTGCTATGTGTGTGTGTTAATGTAGAAATTATAGTTGAGGACTTATATTGCCTTCATTATGGGATAAATTAGGAGTTTTGGATGCAGGATGTCTCGCTCAAGCGAGACTGAATCGTGCCGGACTGAACATTTTGGAGCAATCTCGGTCCAGCAAGATTGGTTTCACTCAAGTGAGATAAGATGAGACTGCCCCAACTATCATCTCGCCCAAGCGAGAAGCGACCTCGCTTAAGCGAGAAGTCGTAAAAAAAATTGTGAGCTCTTTGGACCCCTTCTCGCCCATGCGAGAATGCTACTTGCTAAGGCAAGATACCTCTCGCTTAAGCGAGAATAGCACAAATATGGAAAGATGTCACTGTCTGTTTTTCTTGCCCAAGCGAGAGTAGGGTTCGCTCAAGTAAAAGCACACAGATTTGGAGAGGTATTTAAGGAACCTTAGCACAGAAAACATTCATTTCTCACCAAACAATTTTCCCATCTCATTTTCTCTCTATTCTTTTACCTTTTTCTCTTAAAGAAAACCTTCTTAAAGTCAAACTTCTTCCCGATCCAAGTGGAAATATTTATGTTATCAAGATCTAGGTGAGTTTTCAGAGCTTAATTCTCCATCTTTACTCCTTATTTCCTTGATTTCTCTTCTCAAGAGCTTTATGTTTCGTAATGATAAAAAGATTTGAGTTCTTTGGGCATTATATATCTTTTTGAGGCTTGCAAAAGGAGTGATCTTGGGAAACATCTATTCCTAGGTAAAGGGAGCTTATTCTAAGTTATTATGATTACCCATAGAAATATTTATGTACAAACCTTGATATGGCTATGAATAAATTAATCACTTATGGGTAAACCCTAAGGTAGAACACCAAGTATATATGTGGATGATTTGTGAAAGTTGAATTGTTAAGCTGAGATATTATATACTAAAATTAACTGATAAATGATAATATCTTATGTTAGTTATGTTGTGATACAAGTTGTAAATAATGAGAGATTGTTGTATACTACTGATTGTTGTTGAGAACACATTGATACTAAACTGTACTATCATGGTCTGAATGAAATATCATCATACTAGAGTCGAGTTACATGTTTAGGGGGGGTAGACATGTAATGGTTAGAAAACATGTTGAGCTGAGTTATGTTGTAAATCTAGATCCAGATACTGGAATGAATCGCTCCCAGACCGGAAAATTGTAGGTTCCTTCTGGATTAATTAAACTGTGAAACTAGTAGGAGCATTTGCATTAGATGGACAGGGAATTGGCTGAGATTACGTGTTGCTTGGTGAGAATTAAGGAAGTTGTATAAACATTTCTGATATATTTTCATACTCTATGATTATGACTGTTGGTTATATAAGCTTACCTTTGCTTTTTTGTTTGTGTCAATGTGTGTATTGCAATGATCGTACGATGGTACGTGAGCAAGTGTAACATGTGATGTGTCCACTTCTCATACTGGAAGGTCTGATTGAGGGATGTTATGAGCTGAGTATTCGTTTTGGAAGATTGTAATTTTATATAATTTGTTAGTCTAGACTAATTAACTACATATTTAAGTATGAGATGTAAATATTTAATAATTTTGAAAGTTTTGTATTTTGAGCTCCATGTAGAGCAACTACTGTAAATACATATACTTATATAAATTTTTTGGTTATATGAAATGTCCTTGGGACTTTGTTATTCTATTGAGATGTTGAATTTATTTTCTAAAAATTATTTCAAATTAAATGTTAATTATATCTTATGTACTATATATATTTTATCTCAATAGATAAATCTATACAGGGAATAGTGATGTATGATGTTATTGATCCTTTATAAAAAAGGGTTGTGACATTAGGAGTTTATGACTAGTGTAACACCATGCCCTTCTTCCACTATAGATGATGGTGATACCAATGTCCCAAACTCAACCTACTTATATTGGGTATGACAAGACATATTACTCTACATTGCACAACTTGGGTCATGTGATGCCGAAGCTCGCTCCATTACGTCATTTGTTGACACCTCTTGCGATCTTGGCTTGCCCTTCAGTGTGCATTCTCTAACAAGTCTCACTCACGTGTCATGTTTCTCA